GGGGGGCAGGATTCCCCATATTTGTCCCACCTGCTCAGGAGAAACCACACATAGAATGCCTAAAGTTTGGAATGCCTCCCTGTAATTGCTCATAATTTCCCCACCAGCGCGGAGGAAACAACACATAGAATGCGGGTGTTTCAAGGTTCTCAGAGTATATTTGCACTTGTTGACCTCCGGACTCCGGTCATATGAATGGCAAAAGCAGGAACCTGGCAAGTGCTCCTAGTAGCGTCCTTGCTCCTAGTAGTAAGGCCAGGAGCCCCTAGTAGCGTTCTTGTTCCTTTGTAGCGATACCCTTTGCTCCAAGTAGCGTGTAATTAGTCTATGTACAGTATGTATCATGTAGGATGGGATAAGCATCATTTGGCCCCTTGAAAAGTCTAAGGCCTAAGGCCTTCTTGCAATGCCAGAGTGACACTCTCTCTCTCTCTGATAGTATATATATATATACATAGTATATATATATATACAGAACACAGGGAAAATCATAGGAAGAATGGTCACGGCGGCTATTGTGTTCAGTGTTTAGCTTTGTTTCACAGCTGCTTGTGCATCCACTTCAGAGTACACCAGAATGCGCACGCTTTTTTCTCCCAAGCCGATCGGTCTTTGTTTGCAGTTTCCTTCTATTTCTTCAATCATGCACTGCTATTCGGATCATGCACGTGTTTGTTCTGAAACTGAGCGTCAGCACACGAGCTGACAGCATGGGCCTGAGCTTTATCACATTCTATACAATGACAATGTAAAACAACACCCAACAAGTCACGGGAACCAAAACATTGGCACCTGGAGCTGACACACATGGCAGGAAACTGGCACAGGGTCTACAGTTAGAATGCCATTTCTAGTATTTCTACTTGAATACAATGGGTCTTCAATGTAGATATTTACATATAGCCCAACAACATGCTATCAACTCAAAAGGAAGCAATGGATGCTTCAGCGGCCAGCAATTTGTCCAATTGCGCCCTCCACGCAAAATCCCGCGGATTGGCTTCTGTGTGCGCGGTCAGCAAGGCTTTTATGCACATTAAAAGTGCTTCGGGTTCTGACCGCTTTGTACTGCCGCCGTGGCTATAACACATACCCTGACTGCACCTGCCTGGATACCAGGCTGTCCATGAGCGGGTGCTCTGGTGGTATGAGATGTGTACCCCCCTCACTGGCGGCAAAGCCGTTAGATTTAGTGCATCTAGCTTCTGATAAGCCATGCGGTGGGCAAACGTTTTCACCCGCACGAACTCCCCAGGAAGGATAGAAGCCAAGCACTCTTCTTCGCTGCTGTATGCGAGCACCTCTGGAACGTCCATGTCCATGTCCATGTCCTGCCGAAGGAGCTCCTCGTCCTCATCCAACCGCCCATCGATCTCTTCCATGTTATCTGAATCACAAGCCTCTTCAGCTTGCTCGCGTGCCTCCAAAACTGCTTCCACGCCAGCCCCTAAGGCCTCATCCATGAACTCAGGCATCTCCGTGCTCTCGAACTGCTGCGGTTGGCCCTGCAGAATCACAAGCCTTCGGGGCTCTCCCATGCCAGCCTGAAGACTCAATTCTGAGGCTTCCATCGACAAATTCAAAGTCACACAGATCAGCTCCTTCTTCATCCTGGCGAGGCTGGCATTTTTCCTTGGCGGAGGCGCTATCCCTTTTGATCTCTTGTTGAACAGCAAATGGACCTGATGGGCATTGTGACACCAATCATCATATCTCTTTTGATCGCTTGGTGTCAATGATTTTCCACAAATTGCACGATCGTCCACTTTCTCCATCCAATACTGATGATCCTCCACCCATTTGGATAGCGCTCGCTCGATTGGAGTAGCCACCCATGTCGGGAGCGGCTGCCTGCTTGCCTCATTGTCCCCAGTTTGAATGGCAAAGATGCGGCGGCGCTCACCCTCCATAGGGGTCGTCCGCAGCTCTTCCAAATCTTCAAGGGTATCCTCATCACATGTCACATCCGGCACGCAGACAAGGGAAGTCAGCTTGTCCATGGAGTGTCTGGAAGCCTTGAGGTGGTTCCGCACTGCCTGGATGTCTCCTCCAAACAATGCACCAAATACTTACCACAAACGGCTGTCAACTGACAGTTAGAATGCATACCTAGATAAGACACATATGCATATATGGATGCCAACTGCCACTTAGAATGCCTTAGTTATATAGATAAGTCGCAACGGTGGCAAGCCTTGAGGAGCAAACAGAGGATTTCCACATGTTGTGTTATCAGAAAGCTTGCAGCATGTCCATCGTACACCTTTATCCCAAAATTAAATTCTCCTGGAGCCAGTTTTCTTTCTCCAACCCTGCCTCCAAAGCGCCATTGAGCTATATCCTCTTGAGTCCCGAAGCCCCGGGAAAGCCATGCCAACCAGATCAGCCGACCATTCCTGGGACACTGGAACAAGACATTGAACTGTCGTCTAGTTGTCGCTGTTGAAACACCACGGATGGGGACAAGAAAACATACTCTGCTATGTGTGTTCTTGCAAACCCCAACAAAACAACACACTGCTTTCCCAAAAACATAGCCCCCCACTGCCAATCCTCCCCAATCCAAGGGGCTCAAAGTTGTGGAGAGCATCCAACGCGTAAGCATCTGCACGCAGTGCTGTGGCCACGGACATCCTGCAACAAACAGAGTCCCCCCGCACTTGTGAGGTTTGGAGGTGGTGCTTGTCCGACAATTACATGTGCATAATATATACATATATAATGCACATAGAGAAGCGGAACCTATTTGACACATTCTATCTGTAAGAATCCCTGACAGTGACAACAGTATGGGAATGCATTCAAGTGGCTTGGTGCAGTAGCTGCCCTGTGGTGAAATTCGCATCTCGTCCAAACAGCGTCTGAGCATCGGCTGGTCACCCCACTGAACGGATACTTGACAAAAGCTCTTGTTCAAAAGATGAATATATTGGTGAAAGCCGTCATTGGGCTGGCCGCAAGCGCCCCAGCCACCGGGCGTCTGTATGCCCAGCGACTCCGAGTCTCCGCACACAATGTCCTTTGCTGTCAGATTTTGTGGTCAAAGGTGAACCAGGGCTTGTTAGCTGGAACAGCTTGTGGGATATATATATGTACGGGTGGGCCTGGCTGCCTAAAACATAGGAAGGCTGAAAGATAGAATGCCTCCAAAAGTCACAATTGTTCTCCACCATCCATCTCTCCTTGATGGACTTGAACTTCAGCATGCTGTGTTGAGAGGCGGCGTCGCATAGAATAAGTGCTCGGTCACTCATCGTCAAGTTCAACTGTTTCCGCCGACATCTCAACTCTCCGGAGAGGAAATCTAAGTAGTCCAGCATCGTTTCTGAACTCCAAATGTGCGTGCGAGAGTGCAATGGGCCTACATGAAGCCAGTGTCCCAGTTCCTTTACCAGGGAAGCATTCTATCTTTTAAACACATGGACCAGGTTCAATATAAACTCCAACCACACTCAAACCAGCAGTCCATATAATACATAAATACAAATAAACACCCCCTTTTCATTTGATCTCCTTGTTGGCTTGTAGCCTTTGACGCTCAGTCAGGGAGTCAGATCTGCACGACACAAAGGCCCGCCCCAAGCTCCCGTCCGCCCAAGACAGAGTCGTGAGCGTGCGAGGCACTCTATATCCATCAACTGGAGAGTGTCCGACTGCGCCCCCCTGCACATGCACTGTTGGTGGCTGCCTGTCATCCTGATCACATTGTCCCATGGCTTCGGAGTAGGGGATGTTGAGGCATCTCTCCACCACATGGCGAATACGCCTAATGCTGATGGTCTCCAACTTGGTTTCAGAAACGCTTTGCTTCTGGAGCGTGCGCTGGGACGGCCGGAAAACCAAAGACCAAACCTGGTCGAAGTTTCCGACCATCTGGCAGTGGTAATGACCGGTGTGTATGCGGAATTGTACCCACTGGTGCACGCGGTCCAACTGAGGATGGCCGGGGGGGCAAATGCCTCCCCGGCTTGTTGTTGGCCCGGCTCACGATGCCCCCCTTTGCGACATATGCTCCGACAAGTTTTCCTGTCCACAGCCAACTATATAGATAGAACTGGTGTTGTTTCCAACTTGAAATTCAATTTGCTGGAATATTAGCTATCCATGTATATACAACTTGAATGTTTTTAAATTTTAGGTGGGGCACCATATATTTAAAAGCCATATGCATAAACTGTGGCACCAAAAGAGGAACGCAATCAAGGACAAGTGTCCTGAAATTGTCATGCGTTGACTTCACAGCAACGGGCACCAGATCATGCTCGATTCGCTTCGCGATCTCTTCCAATTCAGCTTCTGGATCATCAGATGCGGCTGCCTCATCACACAACTGCAGGAGATCGGCGGGAGACTTCTCCTTGATCATTGCAACTACCTCGTTGTAGTGGTCAATGGCAGCGGCTAGAGTGTTCTGGA